AGCGTTGGGAAACTGGCTAGCAGAATGTAAATCAGTGAAGTTAGAACACTCTCACTCCATACACAAAAACAAACTCAAAGTGGCTTAAAGACTTAACTGTAAGACAAGACACAGTAAGTCTCCTAGAAGAAAACATAGGCAAAACATTCTCTGACATCAATCTTAGCAGTGTTCTTCTATGTCAGTCTACCCAGGCAATAGAAATCAGAGCAAAAATAAACAAATGGGACCTAATTAAACTTATAAGCTTTTAACAGCAAAATAAACCATAAACAAAACAAAATAACAACATACGGAATGGGAGAAAATATTTGCAAATAATGTGACTGCAAAAGGCTTAATTTCCAGAATATGTAAACAGCTCATATAACTTAATAACAAAAAGCCAAACAACCCAATCCAAAAATGGGCAGAAGACCTAAACAAGCAATTCTCCAGTGAAGGCATACAAATGGCCAATAGGTACATGAAAAAAGGCTCCAAATTGCTAATTATCAGAGAAATGTAAATCAGAGCTACAATGAAGTATCACCTCACACCAGTCAAAATGGCCATCATTCAAAAGTCAACAAATGATAAATGCTGGAGAGGGTGTGGAGAAAAGGGAACCCTCCTACACTGCTGGTGGAAATGCAGTTTGGTGCAGCAATTGTGGCAAACAGTACGGAGATTCTTCAAAAGACTAGGAATAGACTTACCATATGACCCAGTAATCCCACTCCTGGGCAGATATCTAGAAGGAGCCCTAATTCAAAAAGACACCAGCACCCCAATGTGCATAGCAGCACTATTTACAATAGGCAAGTCATGGAAACAGCCTAAATGTCCATCGACAGATGACTGGATAAAGAAGATGTGGTATATTTATACAATGGAATACTACTTAGCCATAAAAAATAATAAAACAATGCCCTTTGCGGCAATATGAATGGATCTAGAGATCGTTATTCTAAGTGAAGTCAACCAGAAATAGAAAGAAAAATACCATATGAGATCACTCACATTTGAAACCTAAAAAAAGAAAAAAAGGACATTATGAACTCATCTACAAAACAGAAACAGACTTGCAGACATAGTAAACAATCTTATCGGGGAAAGGGGGTGGGAAGGGATAAATTTGGGAGTTTGAGATTTACAAATATTAGCCACTGTATAAAAATAGATTTTAAAAAGTTTCTACTGTATCACACAGGGAACTGTGTTCAATATCTTGTAATAACCTTTAATGAAAAAAATATGAAAATGAATATATGTATGTATATGCATGAGTGGGACATTGTGCTGTACACCAGAAATTGACACATTGTAACTGATGGTACTTTAATTAAAAGGATTTGAAAATAAATGTATAAACCCTAAACTGTTAGGGTTTCTAGATTCTTGATTATGTACAAGGTCTTCCTGAATTGAGAGGAAAAAAAATATAAGTGGGAACAAATGTGAGTCTGAGTGAGAATGTGAGTGGGTGACTTGAAGATGAAAGATGACTACGGTCTTGGACGTGGAGGACTCTTTAGTGATCAAAGAACAGGTGGAGAGGATGCTGAGTAAAAAGGAATAACCAAAAGAAACCAGTGAAATGAAAAATAGAACAGGATTAGTTCTGATTTGGAACTGAGTACTTATAAAATGTACTGGAACCTTATAGGCATACCTCACTATTGAAATAAATGTGAATCTGGAAGACTTACTCAGGTTTCATGTATTCCAATCATTTTGTGTTCAACTTTACCTTGTCTGACCAAAGAATGCTTAGTAAAAGAATCAGAGTTGAAAATCAAATCAGATTTTGACTTTTAAAAGCTCTCTTTTGGAGCTTAGGTTATTGAAGAAGTTAATAAATAGTCTTATTTTTCTTTGCTTGGGGAAGGAGGTAGGCTCTAAAACTTGGATAGAAAATTTGGACTATTTGGAAAATTAATGTCTTTGTGTATTGAGTGGAATGTAGTAATAGAAAGATGAGGCACTCTCTGAACCTAAATTAAGGGAGAGAAGGGGACGTATGTGGGGCAGCGAGTGGTAGGAGGAGGAGGGAAGAAAGCGAGAGAGAGAATGGATGTAAGACCAGGGGAAATTGATAAGTTGGGCTGAATTTAGATTTTAGGGTACACTCTATTTTAAAAATTCATTTTAATGACAAAGTATTTCACCTTCATGATACACTTTAAGATATCCTTTATTTTATTCAAATTATGTGCATTTGTGGTAAGGAGGGACGGAAGGAAGGGCAGTAGTAGGAGGGCGGGAAGTTCTTTGAAGCAATAAGTTATCATTGCTTTTTAAAGTTTTTAAAGTTCATCTTTTTAATTATGAAGGTTTTCAAACATACAAAAATAGAATAACTTGATAACTTCAGTTTCCTTATCAAGATTTTGCCCCCATTTGCTTTGTCCCCTTTCTTCTTTGTCTTTGCCGTCATCGTCGTCATTGTCATTGTCTTCTTCTCCTTCTCCTTCTTCTTTCCTGAAATGTTTTAAAGCAAATCCTGGGAATCTGTCATTTTACCCCTGCTTATTAGTTCACTGTACATCTCCAAACAAAATGGAAATTTTCTTACCTAACCATAATGTCTTTATAACCTCTAGTACCCAGTGTATAATCCAGTTTCTCCAGTTATCTCTAAAATCTCTGGCTGGTTTGTTTAAATCAGGATCCAAACAAATTCTATTCATATTTGGTTGTTGTGTCTCTTAATTTTTTCTTAATCTACAACAGTCCCTTCCAGCTTCCATTTGTGGCTTTTTATCCCCATGCCATTGACTGGTAGAAATCCAATCAGTTGAACTGTAGATCCCAAATTTTGGATTTGGCTGATTGCTTCCTTGAGGTATTATTTAACTTTGTCCTGTAACTCCTCATGTTTCCTGTAAATGAACTTTTTGGTCCCAGGACTCCTTTATACTCTTAAATTATTGAGGACCTCAAGGAGCTTTCAGTTATTATTGATTTTACTACATTAAAAAGCAAAGCTGAAAAATTTAAAAATATTTACTAATTGATTTAAATAGAGTAATCATGAACTCATTATTTGATATCACAAAAGTTCTTTTAATTAAAAATAAGTATATTCTTCAAAACAGAATTAGTGATGACTGGCATTCTTTTACGTTTTTGTACATCTCTAATGTCTGCCTTAATAAAAGATAAATTCTCATATCTGCTTCTGTATGCATTACCCTGTGACATCACACACTGAATAGTTTATGGAAAATTCCACTATCCAGGCATGAGAGAATAAGAGTGAAAAAGGAAAATGATGTCTTAATATTATGCTTATGGTTTTGCCCTCATGGGCCGTCTGGTGAAACAGTCTCCTCAGTCACACTTTGAGAGACAGCTGCCCTAGGAGACTTGATTTTAGATTCAGGTTGAACTTTTTTGGCAAAAATACTACATATTCTTGATGTATACTTCATATTTTATCATTAAGATGCGCACCATATCTGATTATGTTATTGATTCTAGGATTCATTGGTGGGTTTAGGTGAGCCATTGTGCTTTTTCATAGGGTAGCATACCAATTTCACTATCTTTATCAGTGTTCTGTGTATTTTCAAGTTTTCCTAATTAGTAGGAGGAAAATGTCTTTATTTTTTAGTTTTGAATTTCTTTGATGATTAGATTTTTGGGCATTTTTCCATGTGTTCACTTATTTTATCTATGGCTTATCAATTTATTTTGAACCATACCTATTTGATTTTTTGATGACATTTTAAATGAATTTGGACAAAAATCCTTATCTAATACATATTTGAAGTCTTTCTTATTTACTGTAATATTTTGTCCATTTTCTGTTGCCACTTAGTTTTTGCTTATGCTATCTTGTATATGTTGAAGTAATTTTGATATTAGACAGTCAAATCTGGTCAGCTTTTTCATTATCAAGTCTGAACTTATAGGAAAATCAAAATGAGGTAGCATCTGAATTTGGAATCTGTTATGAAAAGGACTGTAGGAATCAGCTGCTCTTCTCCCATATTTTACAAAAAAAAAAAAAAAGGGAAAAGCTTAGAAGCTTAGAGAAGCTATTTTGCTCATCTTTACCCAATGAGCTGGTGCCAGACTTGAGACTAGAGACTGACTTTCCCAACTCTTCTTCCCCTCATTCTACCACCATTTCTAATAAGTACCTCAGTTAAATCTGGAATGAGAATGAAGGACTTTGTCTTTGGTTAAAATCATAAACGTTGTGCTTTGTGGAGGCTTGTTTCTTATTAGAGTACCACTGCAGCTGTCATACTGAGTGGAAAAAATACGATTTCTGATTCACTTTTATATACTTTAAAATTTAGAACCACTCTGAGAATTTAAAATATTGTTGCCTCCTCAGACAGAGTAAAAAAAATGACCTGATTCTGACCACTATTTTGCCTAACAGGAAGCCTGCAGACCTGCAGAACTTGGCTCCGGGGACCCACCCACCATTTATAACGTTCAACAATGAGGTCAAAACGGATGTAAATAAGATTGAAGAATTTCTTGAAGAAGTCTTATGCCCTCCCAAGTGAGTATCGTAGAAAATACGCATGGAAATATTGCCATCTCTTTAAAGCTTTGTCTTATCTGGTCCTTAGGGACATTTCTCTTGATTGTACTTGAGTTAAATTGTCACAGCATTAGGTTGGAATGACTAGGACTTCTCTTCATTCATTATGATGCTGCACAAATGTCAGAACTGGCTGCTGGCTAGGCCAGTAAGTCACACTAAGAAAGACAGGAATCTGATTAAGCTATAGAGTACTTGGTGGAAATAGGTTTGGGACATGTGAGTCCAGGTTATTTGAGGGATGGAGGTCCCAAAATGAGAGAGAAGTTTGGGGAGAAGAGATGGGGAAGACAGGTTCAAACTGAACCCAGCTAGAATGTCGAAGCAGGGGTGTGGTACAGGTTGCTGGGAGATTTCCTTTCAGGCCATTTTAAAAGTAACTTTCTAAAGCTACCACCAAAGGGAATGAATTTTTTAGACTGCATTGCTGGGATTTCATTTTTATTTATGTATTTCTTTTAAGGTGTTCTAGAGCCCCAGGTCCTGCATATTAGCCCACATGGTTAATGAGTTCAAAGTACTGAACTTTTTCCTGTAATGTGAGGTACAGCTGAGGAGTAGATGCACTGTAATGACAGTTACCCAAATTGCAACTATGAAGTTTTGTATCATAATGTAACATTGGCAAAAGTTCAAAACATCATTGGTTTCTTTTAGACTTTTCTAGTTTCACTATCCTGAAAACTGGAATGTTTCTTCTGGCTCAGGCCTGTTCTTGCTAGTGAACTTGTTTTTTTTCCCACCATATACAGGTAAATTTCCCAAGAATAGGATTATTGGGTCAGAAAGTTCTAAAATAATTAGTTACTCAGCATTCATTCATTCATTTATTCTGCAAACAGTTACTGGGCAACAAAGCCCTATGGATACAATAGCTAACAAGACAGTTCCTGCTCTCAAGAAATACAGTCAAATATGGATGAGGAGGTAGTGATGATGTGGGAAAATGAGTGGAATCAGGAAAGGCTTTGGAGAAGAGATCACACTTGAATTAAACTTTAGTTGAAAAAAAAAAAAGTGACATCCAGCAGGTGAGTGAAGGAATGACAGGCATTCCAGGCAGAAGAATTATTTTGGATAGTGTTTCTTTGGGGGACCTGAAGCGTGGCATGCAGGGTTAGAGATGGCAGGCAGGAAGGCTGCTAGGAGACATGAGTAATGACACTCCGTCTACAACTAGCCCACCTTCTGTTGTAAACAGAATTGCCCTCTGTTTAGCAATCTTACTCTAAGCTTAAAATTTCATTTTCGTAATCCTGTATCCTAAAAACTTATCCTCTGCCTTCCTTCTTGTCGAAGAGCCCCAGACTTCTTTTATCTCTGCTTTCCAGGAGTCCTATCCTTCCTTCTATCCCCAGTAAAGTTTCTCTAGACCAACATTAATAAAACTGTATCTTGATTTTTCCCTCCAGGCCATATATACAGTTAGAATACCAATAAATCAAAACTGGGATCTTTGAAATTGGAGCTTTGTACACATCAGAAAGGAACTATTATGAACATGCATTTAACTTAGTTAGAAATAACTTTTGAGAGATTATTGTGTCATAGAACCTACTGCACCCCTTTTTATTCCTTTTATGTACAGATTATGTATATCTTACCCTTTTTATTCGTAAAGGCTGTCAGCTCTGAGGAAAGTTCCGTATTTGCCGACTTACCCTCAGATGCTGATGAATGAAAGTGATCTTCCTCTTACATAACTGTAGATCATTGTATCAACATTAAATTATAGAGAAACAGTTTGAATGGCATTCATTCTCTATGAAGGAAACTACGTTGTTTTAAAGCATTTTCTGAAGTGTTTATTGTTTAAATCCTTCTGAGGATATTTATGTTTTTGAAATCAATATGCTGATAACATTATATGCCATTTCAATAAAATGGGCATCTTCTCATATTCTCTTCTTGTTGTCTTCTTTAACAAGAGCAGCAGCAACAACAACAAAATAATTTTCATTATTCTTTCTTTTGATTTTTCTCAGAGAGAATAAACATTAAGAGAAATAGTAGAGCTAATATCAAAATATTCCATCTTTTTGGTATCTAGAACTCTGTAAGACATCTTAGCTTTTTGAATTGGACCTTGAAAATAAACATTTTCACTTTGCTTTTTATATATAGAAATTTTACTTTCGTTTCATTTAGGCATATTTATAGAGATACTATAACCAGAGGAGGTCTTTTCCTTTAGTTTAAATAATTTAATTTAAAACTTGGAGATCGTTCTGTTTATATTCTGAAGAGAGTTTCTGAAGTTTTAACATTTTACTTGGGAGGGAGTAGTTTTGACGTTACTAATGCCTCTGCTGTTATTAACTAACATTCAAGTGCTAATTATGTGCCATGCACTGGGGATTATCTCAACTAATCCTCTCAAAGACTTTATGGAAAAAACTGAAGACGAGTAATCCAAATAACTTGTCCAAAGTTTTACAGTTAATGGTGGCAGAAATGGCACAGGTTACTTTCAAAGCCAGGTCTGTATGACTTCAGAAACCTGTATTTCCTCCATTTTCTTCTTTCTATTTCTCATTTAGTTGAGTTTGACTTTTATAAAAGAGGTAAAATGTGAGTCTTTAATTGGGATTGTGCTTTAGTTGAGTACAGACTTGAAGGCTAGCTCAAGCTTAGAGGAAGGGTAGGAGAGAAAGCAAAGGTAGATTGTTTTACTGTGATGATCAGGTGGGACTGAAGGTGGTTGTTAAACTTAATTTAGTGAATCCTTTTTAAAAAGTAGGTGTGGTTTCACTTCTGGTGTGTTTTTATTTATATGCATTGAAACAGCATGTTTGGACTAGGAGTGCCTTGCCCTTAGTGGGCTCCATAACCCATAATGTGAAATGCTGACCAAACAGCATACTCTGTCATGCAGAATTGTTTCTGTAGGATGAAGGGGAGGAAGAAATTTTTCTGGGACCACCACATGTATTCCTTTTCCTTTCCTCTATTGTTCTAGGGCAGTTGGGGACCATCTGCCTTTTTCCTGTAGGATAAGGAGGTCTTTAGGTCCTTAGCTATTGCTGATCCTCCTCACTCTGTAAGGCTTCCTGTTTCCAAATAGGACAAGGAGAAAGGCAGAAGAGTTGTACAGCTGGTAGACTAGAATCTAGCATTTCTAATATCTTTTTGGCATTTGATGTTACTGAGAACAGAGGGCTTTTTATGTGATCATCTCTGCTTTAATCATGACATCTATAAATATAGATAACTACCTATTCTAGAGTTATTTAGAATTTAGGGAGTAATGAAAAGCTAAGATCAAGAAACTTTTTTCTGGCCTAGGTAACTGTAGGTTTTGAAGAAGAAACATTATCTTTTCTCTAGGGAGAAGTATTTATATATATATTTTTTCAGTTCCCCTTGCTTGAATGAAGGAACCACTTTGTCCAAATAAAAGCTTTCAAAAAAACCGAAACTTGGATTTTTTTTTTTTAACTGAAGCAAGCCTGTATACTGGGCTACCTTACTGATAAAGGATAGAAGGATAAAGAAAAGCTAGATAATTTTGGAGACATACTCTATAAAGTGTTATAAAGTCTTTTTTTTTTAAATGAGAAGTACAAAGTTGAATTTACAAGAATAAGGCAATAGACTGTATAATCACACTTGATTTTTATATTAGCTTGAGAAGGGAGAAAATGTCTAAGGTGTTTCCTAAAAGGATGGAAATATTCTTAGCTAGTCTACCATTAATAGTCTGTGATGTAATACAGAGTAAAGGAATGATCTGAAAGCCTCGATGATCTGAGAAGTCCTGGATGCTCATGTCTATTCTGTTGTTCAACATAGTCTTTTATTACTTATTTGCCTTCCTTTTGTTAAATGTTAAAATGAATGTTCATAATAATTGAAAAGTACTGTTTTATCAAGCAGTTTGCTAAAATTAATAATAATGAGTGAATGACTAAAATCCAGTGTTTGGGGGGAATGTAGAAAACAGTTGACAACTGATTTTGGGCCTGCTAGTTTAGCATTTGGTTTATCTTTTAGAGAGAACCTGATCTGTAATAAAACAAAAACAAAATAACACTGACCTGGGGACAGGAGATCTGAGTTTTAGTTTGGTGATACTTTTAACTAGTCCAGTGATTTTTGGGTCCAAGTGTGTAACCTCCCTGCAATATAATTTCCTTTTAGGCAAAATGAGACATTGAGATGAATGGTCTTTTGTAACTATAATGTTGTATGCATTTAACTAAGTACAAATTTAATGGTTTGTCTTGGAGAAGAGTAGTCCTGTTTAACCTGCTTTAGAGAGTTTTTTAAAGAATTGTGATAGCAGCTATTTCCATATGAATAAAGGTTATGCTCATTGCAAGTCCTTTATTCTTACCTGTTCATTAATACAGATGTCTAGTAAGTATGCTTCTGTGTGCTCATCACAGAAGCATACTTAACATAATTCCTGACACATAGTTGATACTTAATAATTAGAATAAGTGAATATATGCATGAATAATAAATATATCAATAATCTGTAATTCAAGCCTACCTTCCTGTAAGTAAGTTTGAGAATTATGAAGTTTACTTCACTAGAAAAAGTAGGTACTGATAAATATTGGTTGAGGAAAAGAGGAGTAATTTTGGAAACTTGGCTAGAGGAGGTTATAGATGTATTGAAGTGGCACTTCTGTACCTTGCACTGTTTTTTGTTTGAAATGAATCAATGAAGTTACTGTATTACAAGAGGGTGGAAACATTTAAACTAGAGCCTGGTTGTTTTCATAGTCAAAGAAAATCCAGGGATGTTGAAGCTGGAATTAACTGTTTCAACCCAGGCAGGAAAAAATGACAGAGAGTTGGAGAGAGAAGGTAAAATTTTCTATAATTAGCAAAAAATTACATATTATATATACATATATAAATATACCTACACAGATGAAATTTATTTACTATACTCATTCACTTTTAAAAAGCTCATTATGTGATTAATTTCATTTAAGAGAGAACCCTTTAAGCTTAAACATGGAGGGGTATTAAAAAGAAAAATAACTTGAGCATATAGGTATTCAATAAATATATTCTCCTTAGCAATATGGTACTGTCTAATTTAGAAGATATATCTTTTCTTGAATTTAAAATGGTAAACATAAAGTATAGAATATAAAAAATTAACTTGAAACTACAACTTGCTACTGAACTAAATTTTTTTCTAAAAATACTTCACTTTTATTTTTAATTTACAGAAAAATGGTAAGACAGCATCTTAAAATATATGAATAAATATAAATAACTAGTTCCATGTAAGATATTTTTCCGTAGTCTTACTGCCCTTAAGTCCATTTTCCAGTGAAGTTTTGCAGGGCCTTTAAGCTGAGGCATCTTCCATGAAATGGTGCTAAGAGTCTAGTCCCAACTCCCGGAAGCTGATGTAAGCTCTGCTAAAGGGAAAAGTAGGCTTTTTCACATGTATTTTCCTAATTTGAGAGAGAGATAAACATCAAGTATATGTGTTTGAAATTTAAGTATATAAAATACACATTTGTGTGTGTGTTTTTTTTAAAAAAGCTGTTATGTCATGAATGTCTCTTCTAAAAGTAAAAAGACTTTGTAACAACACAATAGAGGATTTGTTAGCAAAGTTCCTGACATCTTATTTTATGTTGCTCAGTGTCACCCTTAATAATATTTAGTATATGGGAGGTTTTGGAAAATCCTGAGTATAGGATTGAAGTGAGTGATCAGCCTTCTGCTTTTCTGTCCTTTACCTGCTGTGGGTGATCAAGATGCTTGACCAGCCTGGGCTCTTTCCCTACTGCCAGTTTCTGCAGAGCTGCCGTACGGGACTGGCTCAGTGCATGGCACGCCAAAGATCTATCTGGTTGATATTATTCCTATTTTAGAAAGTTCTACAGTTGAAATGTGGCTAGTACAACTGAGGAAATGATTTTTTGTCTTTATTGTGATTAATTTAAATTCATAATTAGATAGCCACAAGTCACCAACAACTACCATGTTGGGCAATTCAGATACAGAATATTTCCATCATCACAGAACATTCTCTTGGACAGCACTGCCCTAGAATTCTGCTTCTAAGACACCCTTTGGCTTGGCACAAGTCTCTGAACAAGTAGACTATTTCCCCAACATTCTAATTTATGAAGTGGAGGTGGAATACAAGTGCCCTTTGGTTGCCAAGAATATTAATATGTGAGCAAAATGGTGCGGAACTTCATTTCCTAAGGAAAAAACACATCTTAAAAATATCATAGAAAACAGATGATGGCATTTCTTAGGGTAATAACTTAAAAGATACCTAGTAACTGCTAGCACAATGGTTTGATTAGGAGAGTTTATGCTAATGTATCTTTGGAGGATCTATAATCCATTATTATACTTTTCATTTAGGTACTTAAAGCTTTCACCAAAACACCCAGAATCAAATACTGCTGGAATGGACATCTTTGCCAAATTCTCTGCATATATCAAGAATTCAAGGCCAGAGGCTAATGAAGGTAAAAAACAAACAAACAAACAAACAAAAAACCACCACCACCAGCAACAAAAAAACACCAAGTGCTTGAATTAATGCTCTAGAACCACACTTACCACCCAAACCGCCCCCCAAAACAAAACAAAAAGACCAAAAAAATCTTATTATGACAGTGATTATACTTGAATCTTTTGTAGTCCATACATTCCTATAAATATTAAAAACTGGCTTTCAGAGTTGATTAGAGATTTGATAAGCCAGGGTAAGTCCTTAAATTGCCTTTTCCTGTTTCTAGCTAGTGGGACTGTGCCTAGCATATAGTGGGGTGTGTGATAAAATGTTTGAGTGAATTTGTTCTCATATTCTTCTGAGGAGTTAACCATGAAGGGAACTATGCAAAGAATTAACAGTCCTCAAACAATAGATTGGGTGGTTGTGGTGGTTTGGAATAGACTGACACAACTTAATTTAAACTATTAATCAATCTTTTGTTTATTGTTTTGTGCCAGCAACCTAAAATCAGCCTGGGTAGATTTTTGTGCTAATTACCCTTAAAAAATAGTTTTTGGAGTTGCTCTAAGAGAGCATTTAGATTCACTAGCCTTGCAATTTCTCTGCATCCTAAAAGTAGGATTTTAGTTTCAAGTTATATTTTCATGGGGAGAATTGTTTATGTAGTACAGATGCAACTTCCTTCTTTAAATTATTAACAGACACTATCTTACTACTTCATTTACCAAACTTACGAATAGTGAAGGGAAGCCTCTTTGAAAAGGATCTCATTTAATGAATGTTATCTTAACTACACCATTCAGTCTTTTTCCTTTTCCTTCTCTTTGAGGTATTAAGCATTTTTCTTTCTGGGGGAATCTATATAAAGAGAGTCTTAGTGTTTAATTAAAAGTAACAATAATAACCAAAGAGGCAACTTCTAAAGACACTTTAATCCATTCAGTTTTAGACTATTTGGTAGCTTGGGTGGGGTTCTTTTGGGTAGAGCTTATGGCACCAAATGAGCAAGAATACCAAAAGGAAAAAATACCAGTGTTGGTTAAGCAAGAATAAATGTCTTTTAAAAAATTGAAATAATTGCTGATTTCCTTATATTATTTCAGTGGGTAGATTTCCAAGCTATTTAGGCTATTATTTTTTATTATTAAATTTTAAAATTGCACCATTTTACAATTTAGTATTGAATTTCAGTGGTTTCTGGAATAATATTCACTGCATGAAATAGCTTTTATATAGTGAAAGGAAAAAAGAGAAGAACGTTAGGGCCCAGGGCTGCCTTACATAAATGTGTTTCAATAGCTGCCTTGGTTTGGGAGTAATTTTCCTTAGTAATTGGCTTTTTTTCTGACTAATGTTTCTGTCTAAGCATTTTATACACGAAGTGACCAGTTACATTGGAGCCCCTCCTATCCGCAGACAGTATCTTTTCTATGCTACACTTCATTCATGCAGGTGCTGTTCTCTTTATCCCCAGATGCTCTTGCTGCATAGTTCTTTGAACTCTCTTAGTTAAAGACATAATGTTTTTATTTCTCTGTGTGGCTTTTAGAAACTGGAGGGTGGTTGAATTTCTTTTGACCCTTGGTGGGAAGGAGAGGGAAATACAATGTGTTTGCTTTTTTTTTAAAAAAAGCAATTGCTTTGAGGGATGGAGTGAATAGGGAAGAAAGTGACTCATTTAAGTATAACTTTGTATTCTATTTTTTCCTATCAATTTGTTACTGTCTTAAGTAGCCACCTACACTTACTGTTCTTAAAGTGCTGTAACCAATAAGAACAAACAACATAATGGATTATACAGTGCATTACTTTAAGTAATGCAGAAGTCTTTATATTAAATTACCTTTTGGTAAATAAGAACTCCAGTTGCCAAGCAACCTTCCCCCACAGTGGCCTGTCACTGCCATGAGACTTTAGAAAACAAAATTCCAAATCACTTTGGAGCTTAATGGGTCTCCCTTATGTGTATTTGTTGCAGGTCTCTTATCTGTTTCTTTAGTGCAATTAAATGCCTTAAATAAGCCTTGGTGATGTACCTCCTCATTCCCCCAAACAATAAACAACTTGACACAGAGATGGATTTGTCATTTTTATGTGGTCAAGCAGAGTAAGCAACTTGTTGATTAGTTTTACCAAGCTATTAAATATTTTACAAAATCCAATATGTTTGGACAATTTTAAGACCTTTTAAGACCTAATTCTAAGTAAGGGATTAGATACAGATGCTACAGCATTGGACTACTGAAAGTGAAACAGAAGGGCCAGTGCTTAGACTGGGGTACAAAGTAAAGAAAGCAGAGTTAAAGAATACAAGAAATAAAAGGAAATAGATAGATAGATAGATAGATAGATAGATAGATAGATAGATAGATAGATTGATTGATTTAGCTAGCTAGCTAGCTAAAATATATAATTCTTTGGTAATATGTCCAAGGTGACTAGGAGTAATTTTTTTTTTCTTTTGAAGCATTAAAAGAGAAATTAATGGGTAATTCCTTTTGTAGGGATGGGTTAGGTATGACCTCTTCCAGATCTTGTAAGATTTTTGGTTGTGTGATTTCATTAATTTAAAGAATTTGTTAAGCTCCCAAATGTAACTGATAGATAATTTATTAGTCTGTTGATATTTATAATATTCTTAAGAGATCAGTGAATTTAGCAGTGATGAGGTCTGCCACTTATATGCTCTGAGGCATATTTCATAATGTCCAAATTCCCATTTTTAAATGGAGGCAAGGAATCTTAGGTTCTGATTAGTTTCTTTTTATTCAAGGTTTATTTCCCCTCCCTACCTGCTTCCCTCTCTCCATCCCTCTTTGGAAAAGTATGTGGAATCAGAGGATGGTTGTTCATCATTGAAGCAAAGAAACTGCACTGGATATTTAATCATCTTTAAATACTTATTACCTCTCCCTGTTTTCCACTAATTTGTTACTGGGCCTTTAAAAATTGCTCAAGTAAGATTACTCTTTTATTAAAACTAGCAGTAGCTTAAAATACAATTTTATCCATGTAAGTGCTCATAATTTTTGTTTCCTTTGTTCTAAATTATATTGTTTTTCTACAACGAAACAGACTTGTTATGTTTAATGCTTTCTGCCTTGCATTTACTCTTTCAATTTATACAAACAGTAGAGTAATGCATGCTTACTGAAAAAGTTAAAATAGTGCAGAAATAAATTTAATAAACTTTCAGTGTCCCTCCTTAGTCACAGCATGTAACCTGTTCCCAACACTTACTATGTATCCTTTTTTCTATGCACAAATTTTACTTAAATGTGTATTTGTATGCATATATACACGCATTCTGTGGTTGTCTTTTTCACATATTGTATGGTAGAAATCCTTCCATATCAAAATGTAGATCTACCTCATTTTTAAGAAATTCTGCTTAATATTCCATAATACGGATTTTTAGTTAGCTATTCCCCCATTGATAGACATCTAGATTTTTTTTTTTTATTATGACAAACTATGCTGCCAGTGAATGTCCTTGTGCTAGATTTCAAATAGGTCAAAAGGTTTTAGTCTCCAAAAGACTATGATAGTTTATAGTCCCACTGATGTGGAAGTATTCATTTCCGCACGCTTCTGACCCTGGGGTGTGTGTGTGTGTGTGAAAGTGTGTTAATCTTTTGACTTTCATAGTTAATTTAAAATTGATTGTATGGCCTGTATTGCACTGAGTAATTTTTTTGGAGAGCTTTTGAAGTACTTTCTTAGAGATACAGCATTACTACAGCAGAGGTATTAGAAAATTACAGTGCTAGTTATTAATTACAAAAAACAAAGAGCTAAAAAAAAAAAAGACAAGGAGCTACTTTCTTATGGCCTGCTACTGCCTTCTAGTGGTTAATCTTGACAGTTTCTTTATGTTTACCAATTTCAAATTCTTTCGTTATGATTTGTCTTCAAAACTTTATTATGTTTATTAAATGACACTCTTGTTACCTCGATTTTTCTTTATTTTGTTGTCCATTCCTTATGCTGAGACTAAAAGTTCTATCAAACGAATTCAGCATTCTTTATTCTGACATTCTTAACTATGAAAAATCACTAATATTCTAGTCAAGTATAGAATGTTCAACTTCATTGCAGGTGCTTTGCTAAGTCCCAAATTGTAGAAAGAGCAGTAATTGTAATGTTTTGCTAGCTTCTTAATTTTAGTCCATGCCTTACATCTAGGATCATAAGCTTTGTATGTTATAAACCTTGTAAATTGGGAATATTTTATTTATCTATTGGATACATTTGAGAATTAATTCAGGAATGATATTCATTTAGAGCATGTCAGAGATCATAAACTTGCTCAGACTTGCCATGCCACTCAAGTGCCATTTGAGACCTTATTTCAGTGTATGAATTCAGGCAGTATTATCTTCCTTATAGGCCATGACCCTGTTCATTGTAATCTGATCAAAGAACAGGACCTTATATCTAGTATGTATTTATTCTGTATCCACTGCTTTTGACAGGAAACATATTGAATCTTTAAAAGTTTGTTCTTTTACAGCCCTGAGATTCTGCCTCCTTTTTCCTTTTTAAGTGCAACCATGAAAAGTTTTCCATCATGCCCTGGACTTCTTACCAACCTAGCTATTTCTTATATTGCATTTTCTTTTTAATTTATAAACTTTACATTTCAGCTTACTGTATGCATTATTAATATCTTGTATGTAATTCATAAAAGGTTATATTTATTGCCTTTGTATTTTTGATCTTTTATTTTTAAATGGCTCAATTCCCTATTACTCCCCCAGTTGCAATTGAGCTCCCCTAATTCCTCAGCTTCGTTTTACTGGGTTCCATTGCCCTGCTTCTTAACCATTGTCTTTAAGAAATAAACTCACTTGTTCCTGGCTATGGCTAGAGTGACTTTTTATTAATAAAAGAGGTAGTTCTTTGATCTTAATCTTGTTGTCTCTCACTTGTTGTAACACATGCCAATTTGTTCGATATTTACCTAAGTAAAAAAATTACTACCAATTTTTCTTTACATTTTTTAAATGG